CTCTCTGCCCCTCTTCCCACTCGTTCTTTCTCTCTCTCTCAAATAAATGGATAGAATCTTTAAAGAAAGAAATCATTTAATAAATTTTTTTTTTAAAGATTAGTACTGGAAAGAAAGTCACCACAACTGAATACAGGCTGAGTCAAAAAACCTTGTGACCTCCCTATAGACACTAATAAATAGTGTCAGAAATTACCTAAAATTGGGGCACCTGGGTGGCTCAGTCGGTTAAACGTCTGCCTTTAGCTCAGGTCATGATCCCAGGGTCCTGGTGTAGAGCCCTGCATTGAGCCCCGCACTGGGCTCTGCAAACCCTAACCCTAACCCTGTTCAGTGGGGAGCCTGCTTCTCCCTCTCCCTCTGTCGCTCCCCCTGCTTGCTCTCTCTGTCAAATAAATAAACAAAAATCTTTAAAAAATTAAAAAAAGAAATTACCTAAAATTGAAATTAAAAGCCCTTAAATTATAAGTAATGTTGAAAATGACATATCTCTCATATCTTAACTCATTGGAAAAAAGACCAGGTAATTTATTTGGAAGGAATTTTTGACTCCCTTCTTTTGATGTCAGAGGAGATGTATTTTTTTTACTGAGTTATAATTGACACATACTATTACATTAGTTTTAGTTGTACTGCATTAGAAATCTTGAGATAGGTAGACATGTTGTCATATTGCCCTTGATCAAAATTATACCAACTTACCCTCTTCCTACAAGCAGCATATGAAAACTGCTGTTTCCCCACCCCGCTGGACAAGTGGGCAACCCTGTGGAGAGACAGGGAGGCCGGGCAGGCCTGGGTAGTGGACGGCCAGGCAGCCCTTTGCCCTCACTGGACTGGGCGGGCTGCTGAGGGGGTAGGCTGGGTGCTCTTGCAATCTCAGGGCAAGCAGGCAACAGGAAACGTGGGTGCTGCGTCCTAGAAGCTGAGTCCACAGAGGGGGGACATGACCCCGGACCTCGCAGACCCCTTAGCCTCAGCCCCAAAGAACTCTAAAAGAAGAAGGGACTGGCACCCCCACCCTGCTCTCCCAGCAACTGGTCCCTATGGGGAGTGGACAGAGGGTGTGGGAAAACTCAGGCCTCAGACGGAGAGCTGGGAAAGTTGACCCAAAAGAGCTGAGCCCGCGTACAGAAATGGCCGTCTTGCAACTTCCTCTCACGGTTGAGACATGAGAGAGGCTCCTTGGGCCACAGCCCGCGTTGCTTAGGCCCCTCAGAGCTCCCCAGCTCTGGTCAGAGCACTGGGCTGGCTCTTTGGTTCATGAGGACCTCCAACAAGACTCCTGCCCTCGTGGGGCCTGTTCTCGAGCAGGAAAGACAGGGAGAAGCCCGTACTTGAGAGCGTTTCCCCGCAGGTTAGAAGGGGCCGAACGCTATAGGAGAAGAGTGGCCGCCTGGGTGAGGAGCCGGTGGGCAGGGCAGGCCTCACAGACTAGGGGCTATTTGAACAAACTCTGGAAGCCAGCGAGGGGACAAGCTGAGCAGACACCTGGGCGAAGAGCTCCAGGCAGGGACCCCAGGCCGCACAAAGTGTGAGCCCGAACAGCAGGGGGCTTGTGGGAGGGGAGGGGAGAGACGCTACCGTCCGCTGAGGCAGGTAGGGCCTGAGAGGAAAACCCCGTGTGACATTTCGTTTGGCCCCTGAGTGAAACCCAGGGCGCACTGCAGGCAGGGTGCCTTCTCTCCCGTTCGCATCTGAGGGTGGTGCCGTCGTCTCCCCCGTGGTAGAGATGACAACACTGAGGCTCAGAAGTGGCCCTTGCCCCCTACATCCTGGCTCGGGCCATCTGTGGCACAGGCGAGGCTTCACCCCAGGGCTGCCTGAGACCCCAGCCCCTGCCCACACAGCAGGCGCTCAGAAATTGCTCGTGGGCTGCGACAGACGGGAAAGACCAGGATTTGCTGAGCCCCTGCTGTCTACCGCATTAACTCGGTCCACCCTCACTTAAGCCTGTGGGGCAGGCATTTATTACCGTGGCTATTGTATGGAGGAGGGAACCGAGGTTCAGGTGGCTGGGGGGTGCACCCAAAGACACACAGCTGGTGAGTGGGTGGGAGGTGACTGCAGTGGCCCTGGGGCCAATGTCCCCACCTCAAGTTTCTCCCTGGGTATTTCCCTACCTAAAAACCTTCCTTAGTTCTTGCTTGTCCAAAGCAAAAGACCTTCCTTAGTTTTGCTTGTCCAAAGCTCTGAGGGCTTTGCTGGAGCCACCGACACCCAGGGTCCGCCCACCTTTCCACCCTCCCCCCCCCCTGTGGACCAGCCCCACCCCCTCCTCCAGCCAGAAGACGCTACTCAACATTCCCAGAACCTCTTTCTCAATCTCCCAGGCCTTGCTCACAGGCCCACCCCTTCCACACAGGCCTCAGTCTCTCACGAGCTCTCCTCCTCCAGGGTACCCCCCAGACACACCCTTCCCGTTTACCTCCATCTCTCCCCAGCTCCCCCACCCCAGTCTCTCCTCTTACTCTGTACCAGCCCCCCAGCCCCAGCAGCCAAGAGGCACAGGTCTCCAGAGTAGCCCGACCTCCTCTGAGGCCTGAATCTCGGCCACCCCTCCTCACCCCTGTCTCCTGCTGACCAGGGCTGTAGACTGGGAGCTCACCTCCTGGCCACATCACTGAGGCTCCGGCACCTCAAACCCACCACCACCCACAGCGACTTCCTTCTGCTCACCACGGGCAACACCCCCCACCCCTGCCCTGCTCACTCACTGAGGCCGGGATGGCTTCCCCTCCAGGCACAGGCCCCCTCCTCCAGGGAGCCCCTTCTACTGTCCTCTTCTATCTAGGGACCCCTGGATCCTTCCCCACGATTGGCTGTGTGGCCTCTGGGCAAGTTCCTTCCCCTTAGGGAAGCTCAGACAACTCAATTCTATAGAGGGATCAACAAGACCCACCTCCCAGAACTGTTCAAAGGACTGAAAGAGATCATCTGTGTAAGTCTTTACCGGGTACACAGTAGGGGTTCATTTAGGGCCCGTCGCCCTCACTGGCCTCCACACACGTTTCCTGAGCCTTGTGGAGGTTGGGAGTGTGGCTCTGGAGACCTTGACATGAATCTTGTCCCTGCCCTTCATTCTCTGTGTGGCTGAGGGCAAGTCACTTCTCAGGGCCCCCGTCTGTTAAATGGGGGCAATAGTTGGCTGCACCTCACAGGGGTGTGAGAATTCAGTGAGACAGCCAGTATGATGTTCACGGGCAACGTGCATGCCCGGCGTCCTCCCAGGGGGCGGAAGGCTCGGCCCGTCCCTGAGGGCTCACGATCCCACCAGGGCTCCTCTGCACAGCCTCCTTGGGAAAACAGAAATACAGGGAGCCGGGAAGCTGGTAGGGCCGAGACCCGAGACAGCCCCACTGGCACTTTGCTCTCACCCTCCCTGTGTGAGCAACCAGCTCTCGGAAAGAGAAAGCCAGACAGAAAAGCAGCCCAGGTCTGGAGCAGGGACCCTGTGATAGGGTGAGAGGGCCTTTTGGAAAGAAAAAGGAAAGGTAATAATTATACAGCCGCCATCACGGGCCCAGCACATTGGATCTTTACAGCGAGGCTATAGGACGGGGATGATCTTCATCTCACAGGTGAGAAATGGGGCTCAGAGCGGATACTCTTCCAGGTCACAAGGCAGAGAAGGCCAGACTCCGGATTGGACCCAGGCTTGTCCTACCCCAGAGCCTGCGCTCTCAGCCCAAAGCCGCCCAGTGTGTATGCCATGAGTCCTTGGGAAGGGGTCTCTGTGCATATGATGGGAAGGCCCTGGGGGGAGCAGTGGTCGGGGGCAACTTTGACTTCCAAGGTGTGAGACCCAAGGCTGATTTGAGGCTGCCCAGGGGTCTCGGGTGGGGGTGTGGGCAGCCCAGGGTGTGGAGCAGAAGGCATGGGGCCTGGAAGGAGTTAACTGCATGAGGGGTCTGAGTGAATCAGAGGCTCCGCAGGCTGAGATGGAAATTCCCTATGCATGGCGTGTGGTCACCCAGAAAAGGGAAATGGTGCTTTTCGGAGCAGGGGACGGCGGGGGCTGGAGCCCGGGAGCAGACGCCTGCCTGGGTGGGGCTGGCGAGGGTGTTGTGACCAAAGACGCCTGGCCTCAGGCTCTGCTTAGGCCCTGGGTGGGAAAAGGAAGGTGAGGGCCAGGCCTGGCCATTCTATGGTGTGCCCCTGGGCCCTGAGGGATGGGTAGGAGTTCGCCAGGCCCAGAGGAAGGGAGGGCCCTCAGGCCATCAGAACTGCTGGCACCAAAGCATAGGGGTGTGACTCAGCACGAGAGTCTGTCCCCCAGGCTTTTTCTGGGGAACTCTTTCCTGTCCTTTAGGACCCATCCCGAGTGATAGGCTTCCCCACCCTAGGAAGCAACATCTCTTCCTTTTCATGTCTGGAGGCCTCAGTTTCCTTCTGGGAGCTCTCAGGATTCTGTAACTCATCGGCCCTCTCCACAGGCCGGTGGCCAGGGGCCGCGTCCTGGCTCTAGAGGCAGCTTGCCCCCAGCACAGAGCCGGCACCTAGGAGGCACTTGCTGTTTGTGAGATGACGGTTCCACAGAAGGGGACCCTGAGGCCCAGAGAGGTTGGGAGAAACGCAGTCAGCCAGCTGGCTTTGGCTGAGTGGGGCTCAGGCCAGCACTTTGGCCTCAGCTGGGGCTTCGTGGGAGAGAAGAAACGGGGCAGGCGTTCTTCCCTCAGAAGCCCGGCCGTGGGTGGCCATCTGACAACCGTGCCCTCCAAAGCCTGCTTCTCTCTCAAGCATCAGCCCGGCCCTGCTCCTGCCCTTGTCACAGTGCTGGGAGACGTCTGTCCTGCCACCAGGGAGACTGGGCTATGGGCTATGAGCTGGAACGAGAGGCAGTCAGGGTGACAAGGGGATGAGTCTTGAATCTCAATCCAGACATGCTCTAGCTATGTCGCCTCGCACGTGTGGCTTCCCCTCTGAGCCTTGCTTTCCACTTAATGCTGGAGGCCTTGGAATAGGCTTGTTTCTGGGGACAGAAAGAACAGACACTGAGGTAAACTGTGAGCCTCTGCCCCAATGTGAGGGAGGCTGTTATTAGCAATGAGTGCTGCGTCGCCTGTCATCTGTCCTGGGAGCAGGCTCCTGCTGCAGGGCCCTCCAGCCTGCCGGTTCCCAAGCAGGCTGTGCTGTGGCCTCAGGCCCGGTGTCCGTCTGTCCCAGTTCGCTCGGCACCGCATGACGGCCTATGCCCCACACCAGCCCAGGGCGTGAGTGGAAGCTCGCCTCAAGGAGAGTAGTGGCTGGGTCCTCGGTCCAGAAACATGCCCTCTGAGGTCCCCAGGTGCCCAGAGTGTCCCCGAAGGGCCCAGACTCCTTGGCTCCCGTGGAGGGTAAGGGTGCCCGGAGAAGCCATCCTCAGGAGGGACGGGTACCACGGTGGCGGCCATTGGCGCTGGAGCTTTTCCAAGCGCGAAGGGGAACTGAGAAGTGTGGGAATGTGCCTCGGGCAGGCCCGAGTGGGCTGGGTCCGGGTGGGAGCGGCTGCTCCGAGGAGGCCAGACCGACAACGGGGTCCTGGGGGGTGAAGGGGAGAAGGGGGCCCGCTGGCCAGTGACTGTGGGGCTGGGGGTCACCGTGAGGTGTTTGCAGGTTGTCCAGACAGAGCTGGCCGGGCAGCGGGAGGCTGGGGAGCTGCGTGGAGAAGGAAAGAGGAAGCCATGGGGGGAGGGGGGTGGGGCTGCTGGGGATGGAGTGGGAGTGGGGGCTGGGGGCCTGGAGCCACGTTGCCACAGCCACTTCACTTCTCCCGGTTTCGGTTTGTAAATAGCTGCTGGCTCCGTGCAGGCGGGATGGGCCCTGCCCCTTCTGTGGCCTGTGTCCAGGGAGGCCCAGGTCTGAGTAGCTGTAGATGCTCAAACCCTGGATTTGAGGACCCCAGGAGTCAGGGAGGCTGGCCTGGCTTTTCGCCTGGGTGGGCAGGGTTGGTGGGCCCAGCACTGGGCAGCCCCGACCTGTGGTCACTGAGGTAATGCAGCTGGGACAGAACTTGATGACTTGGCCATATTGGGCTTATTTATAACTGGGCCTCCGCGGGCAGAAGCAGCTGCTGAGCCGCCAACTCAGCACTTGGGCTGGCCCAGGGCACCGAGGCAGGGGACAGGACAGTGGGGGCTAGCCTGGCCTGATGGCCCCCAAGTCTGGGCCTCAGGGTCTTGGGAGCCCCAAGCCCTTTCTGGCTGGAACCAGTCCTTGTGCTTTCTGTGTTGTGCAGGCCTTGAGGTTTAGGGGCTCTGTGGGCAAGATGGGTGTCCCAGAACCTCCTAGACCAAGAGGGTGCCGGAACTCAGTCAGTGGACTGGTCAGTTCCCAGGGGGCTCATGCCTTGGCCTCCGTGCAAAGCAACTCTTCCTCCAGAGGTCAGGCGCTGTCAGCAAACTCAACAAGAAGCAAAGTCATCTCCCCTCTGCTTCTTGCAATAGCTGAGCTTAAAAACAAGACAAGACGCATTCGGGAAGAGGGCAATGCCAGCTCCTGAGGCCTGGCCTTCAGGGTGGCAGCTGACAGAGGAGGAAAGATGTGGGTCCCTCCTGAGCCTCCCACGTCACCCCACATGGGTACCCATCTCCTTCTTGGGCAGGAAGCCTGGCCCTGCCCCCACCCTCCAAAAGACCACTTATCTTTCTTCTGAGTAAGAATGTGAGGGGGGTGTCAGTCCCCTTCCCAAGGTTTGCAGAATATAAAGAGGTTCCTAAAATCTTTCTCCCACTTTTGAATCATCCCGGGTCAACCCTCTCACCTACTACTCTCTGTCCCATCAACACCCTTGTCTCCCAAACTAGGTCCCGGCCTTCCCACCTCCAAGCCTTGTTCCAGTCTGGCGCCATGCCTGGCATGCCCTTTCCTTCCCCCTAGTCTCTCCAAGTCCCCTCTCTGTCAGGGCCTATGCCTAAGCCCTGCTCTGAGGGTCCCAGCCTCAGAGCTCGCCTGTTCCCAAAGCAGAGGCTCTTGAAATATAAAATTCAGGGGTGATGCCAGAATTGGAGCAGAAATGGGTGAGAGATTTTAGATCCTGGGTGCCACAATCACTACACAAAAGAGGAAGCCAACATCTGGCGTGGGCCAGGGATGGCCAAAGGCACTCAGTGAGCAAAGGACAGAGCTGAGACCAAAGCTACACACCCTGACTCCTGGCCCAGAGCCCTGACCCCTGGCCCAGAGCCCTGACCCCCAGACCTCTGACCTCCCCGGCCCCAGCCTGGCCTTGCGTGACGGCCCTGCCTGGCCCCTTCCACTTGGTGAACGCTGATGGGGATGGGAAGGAGGGGGACCTGGTGCGGGGGGGGGGGGGGGGGGGGGGGCACCTCAGGCCATCCACCACCCAGGTCTGGGGCCCGGGATGGCAGGCCTCCTTAGGCCCCTCCGCGCAGGGTCGGGGTGCCCAGCCCAGAGCCACCCTGGGCCGCAGCTGCCCCTGTTTCCACATCGGCAGTAGCAAGTCCGGCGCCTGAGAAAACAGGAAGCGCCCAGTCACCACAGGAAGCGTGTGCGCACAGCCTCCCCACCCCCGGCCCATTGCAAAACGCCAACAGCCCCATTACCACAGGCACCACACAGTGGCAGGCAGAAACGCTCTGGCCGCCAGGCCTTCCGAAGAACCGGACAGAAAGACTCCAGCCCTCACTTGCCTGGGCCGGGCCACAGGGTGAATGTCCAGCTGTGGCCTCAAGGAGCCTGGGGTCTCCTAGGGTTCACACCTCATGCCTTCCTCTGGATTCTCAGCCCCATCCCAGGCTGGCCTAAGCTAGGCCTGCTTTGGCCATCATTAAATCAGAATATGGGGTCAGGGGTCATGGGGAAGCCATTTCTCTGACCTGGTGGTTGGCGCTGGAGGACTCCGTGCCTGGCCTTCAGCCCCTGACAGGGCCTGATCCCCAAGCCTCACTGAGGCAGCTGGCCTGGATCCCGCCACCCCCATGACCCCAGGGAGCCATCCGCTGTCAAGTCCATGCCTGCCACACCCCGTGCCGAGCCCCCGCCCTTCCCAACCAAGACCTCGCTGGCCCTGGGGTCCTGCCCAGGCTAGCCCTTAGGAGACCTGAGCCCTTCCTCATCCCGCCCTGCCTGCCCCGACTCACCTCCCATTTCTGGCCACCTGGCCTCAACCCTTGGAAGGAGATGGGAGTGCGGCAACGCAGAGGCCCCGTGCCTGGGGAGGCCCGTGCTCCGCCAGCCCCGAGGACAGCCGGGAAAAGAGAAGAGAGCAGAGCATTTCATGGCTATAATAAATCAAAGGGGGAAGTCAGAGCAGGAGAAATAAGAAACTTCCCTACCCTGGGCACAAGGACCTGCCAGGCAGCAGCAGCCCCCGGCTCCCCATGGCCTTCCCTCCTCCCTCCTGCCTCCCTGGCCAGCACCCAGATCTGGTACTTGCTCCTCGGGCCTAGGGAGCCCCCCCCCCCCCCCCCGCCCCCCCCTGGGCAGCCAACACTTCTTGCTGTGCATCCTGGACCCAGGCACCTCTAGGGTTGGGGCCTCAGTTTACTTCCTCGTGGACACAGAAATCCCTGGGGGTGCGTGCTGGTTTGGAGAGTGAATGGTCAGGCTGCCCAGCAGAGAGGGCTGAAGCTGGGTGCTGCCCCTCTGGACAGGACAAAGGGACCACAGAGATGAAGGGACGGTGAGGCATTCTGGAAATTCCTAGAGGACAGTTGGGCTCGGCTGGACAGATGTCTGTGAGAGCAGACAGGAGGGCCGAGGCAAGAGGCAGGAGTACAGAGCAGAGGTGGGGAGAGCCCTAGACCGTGAGAGTAGGCAGGGCCTTGACCTCAACTCAGCTCCTGTGCTCTCTCCAGCCAGACCCAGGGGACCAGGGCCCGGGGGCCACTGTTTGTACCCGGCACATCTTTCTGAAGTGTCCACTCACCATGGAGACTGAGAGGGGAAACTTTTTTTTTTTTCCCTCCCACCCCCAAGATACTTTTTTTAAAGGCAGGAAGAGAGCTCACATATTAAAAAGAAGGATGCAAATCTGTATGAATATTTAAGATAAAACAAGGAATTTCAGAAGCATTTTAGCTAGTTTTGGGGGACACTGAGCTAGGCCCCCAGATGCCCAGCAGAGCCTCCTCAGCCACTCGGGTGCCTGTGGACACTCAGGATGCCTCCACTTGAAGCCCTCCAGAGACGGTGCGCTCACTCCCGTACTCCAGGGGTCTCTGCTCTCCCTGGGAGCAAATTCTCCTCAGCCTCAGCCCTGGGTCTCCAGAAGATGCCTCCTGGACAGCCGCCAGCCTGGAGCGCCCGGCTAACCAGAGAGCGGGGCAGGACCCGGGATCTCTCTGAGCCTCTGAGATCGCTGCTTCACTCACAACCTTGTCAGGCAGATAAGATCAGAAAGCACCGGGACTGCTGGGAGCCCAGGCTGCAGGGCCAGACACATCGACAGCATGCAGTGCGTGATCCTGGCCAAGGGACCTCACCTCCCACCCTCAGTTTCCCTATTTGGAAAATGCCTGCCTTGAAAATCCACACAGAAAGACCAAGGAGCTCATGGGATGGGGCCTCAGGGTGCTGGTGGGGCCTGTGTCACACGGCGGCTGCCGTTCCCGTCTCCTCCCAGAAGCACCCACTTCCTCCCTCCTTTCCCTTTCACCTGCCTGAGGTGGGGTGAGAACCTCTGCTCCCTGCTCTTCTCTGCACCCCCAGGGCCCCTGGCCTTGCTCTGACCTGTCCTGATCTGGGAGAGCGTTAGAGCTGGGGTTCCCAGCCCTACCCCCAAGGCACGCCCTCTGCGAGAGAGACCTTGGAGGCCCAAACTCCCTCCTTGGCAGGACTCCCCACTGCTGTTCACACCCCTCATGCCCTCACGCAACACCCCACTTCTGTCTGCAGACAGCCACACCCATCTGAACCACCGGTGGCTTTCACCAGGCACTTTACTCACTAGCATCTCATAATCCTCACAGCTGCGACTGTCCTTACCCCCATTTCAAATATGGACAACCCCGAGGCGCAGAGGGGAGGAAGGCCAGCGGGCCAGAAAGGAGCAGCTCGGAGATGAGAGCGGAGTTCTGTCCGCTAACCTGCTGGGGATCCTGTGCGGACCATGAGGCAAAGCAGCACCTCTTTGTTTGGAAAAAGACTTTGAGGGCGCCTGGGTGGCTCAGTCGTTAAGCGTCTGCCTTCGGCTCAGGTCATGATCCCAGGGTGCTAGGGTCCTGGGATCCAGCCCCACATCGGGCTCCCTACTCAGCAGGAAGCCTGCTTCTCCCTCTCCCACTCCCCCTGCTTGTGCTCCTGCTCTCACTGTCTCTCTCTGTCAAATAAATAAATAAATAAATAAATCTTTAAAAAAAGAAAAGAAAAAGACTTTGAGCCTTTGGGGATGTCACTGCTGCCCAGGCCCTGTGGTCATGGCCTCTTCCCAGCTCCCCCTGCCCTGTCTCCATCGCCAGAGTCTCTTGCTTCTCCTGGTCCAGGTTGTAGGATGTCAGAGCTGGAAAAATTCCAGCCTCGGGTGCCCGTGAGAGCAGAGAGTATAAAAGCGAGAGAAAGGTGAACAGTCTCCTGAATCAAACGCTATCCGTGCTCCTCCTGGCTCTGGCCCTGCGCATGCACACCTAAGCAGGGGCACTTAACCCCCTGGGGAGAAAGCCCTAGGGGAGCAGTGTTCCCTGACAGTTAGAAGCAAGGCATTGGTGCCAGACATTCATGGGTTTAAATCTCAGCTCTACAACAGAGTCCATCCCCTGGGTAAGGGACTGAACCCCAGAAGAGAGAGAAAAATGCTTCTCCTGGCCTGGAGATTTCACAGAAGGGAAGTTTGTTTCTAGAAGCCAAGGGCTCAGCCCCTCTTCATGCATGGTCTCATGTAGCCTCGTAACAGCTCTGACAGGTTGGTACTATTATTATAACTCCCATTTACAGATGAGGAATCTGAGGTGAACGAGTCTTCCCCAGGTCACACAGCCTGGCGGGGGCTTGAACCCCAATCCTGAGTAACTACAAGTCAGATGCATTTACACTGGCCTCAGAGAGGTCCCCCTCCTTCTCTCCTAGGAACAGTTGTTCTCTGCCACCGCCAACCCACAGGGTCCGGGGCCCTGAGTGACAAGTTCAACCATGACTGGATGGCCCTGCCCAGCTGTGGTGCAGTCCCCAAATGCCTGACTGCCTTTGGGTTGGGCTTGCGGATGGCTTCCTGGGCACGCAAGGGGTTGGGACCAGCTGCAGCAGGGACTCCTCCAGGCGGTTCCCCGGCCATGTTGTTTGGGGCCACCCTACCCTGTACCCATGATGGGTGTCTGACTCTCTCCCGTGGAGGGGTGTAAGTCTTTCTGGGGGCCTGCCGGTAAGGCAACCAAATGGAGAAGCCAGACTTGAGCTTCTCTCTTGTTTAGGCACCTTCCAAGGCCCTGGAAGAGACCTCAGCAAATTTGTATTGTGATTTTGTAGTCTTTTTCGTAAAGACTCAAATTGTATAAGCATCGCGCTCTACGAAACCTAGCTCTGTCCCCAGGCTGGGGACAGTGGAAAGCGTTCCATCCTCCTCTGCACTTGCATTGTGTGACCTTAGGTGAGACCCTCACTTTCCCATCTATGCAAGGAGAATGAAGCCTGGCGTCAGGCGCGTACAGCAGGACCAATGAGAAGGGCTCGGGGTACCCATCCTTTACAAAAGGCTCAAAGCCTCCGAGGGCTTTCACCAGCCTCCACTTGTTCCGTCTCCAACAGCCCCGGGAGGAGTAAGTGGAGCCTCCTACCCCCACTTTCCAGCTGAGATCACGGAGGCTGGGAACTGAAGGCGCAGACCGGAGCCCCTCCTTCCCCCCCCTCCCCGCCCCGGGATCTCCACCCAGTATGCCGAGCCCGGCGTGGGGCAGTGGGGAACAGAGGGTGCGGAGACGGCGCGGCGGGGGCAGGGGGAGGAGGCGGCGTCCCGCACTGTCTCACCGCAGGACCGACCTCGGCGCTTATCTGCTCGCGCAGCTTCCGCCCGCCCCCCCCAGCCCAGCCCCCCGCCGCAGGCCGGGCCCCCGCCCCCGCCTCCGGAGCGCCGGCCCGAGGGCCCCTCCCCGGGCGCCCCGCCCCCAGGGAGCGCCGAGCTGCCGCGGGCCGCTGCCCCGCGGAGCGGAGAGGGGCCCGGCCCCCAGGTGAGGAGCCGGAAGTGATCAATAACTCCGGGGGGGGGGGGAGCGGGGGCACCGGCGCGGGGCGGCCTCCCTCCCTCAGCCCGCCGCCCCGGGCCTCCCCTACTGAAGCTGGGAGGGAGGCTACGAGGGGAGAGGAGCGGGGTCCCCAAAATCCCCGGGAGCAGGAGGAGCGGCGGGGTGGGCCTACGCGGGGTTCTGAGGGACACGAGCCCCCCCAAACACACGCACGCGCGCGCACTAGCAACGCCCATGGGCGTCCCTGGCACAGATGTGGGAGGGAAGAGAGAAGTGGAGACACCTTGGAGAAAGTGAAAAGCCAGCCACAAAATCGGGAGGAGACGCCCGCCACGTGCAACCGGCAAAGGTTAAGCATCAAAAATACATAAAGAACTCTTGCAAGTCCATGGGGGGCGGGGGGGGATAAAAAAAGAAACAAGGAATCTGGCAGAAAAATTGATAAAAGATATAAGCGGGCATTTTTAAGAAGAGGAAGCACACGTGTTCAGTGAATATCTGAGAGATGCTCAAGCTCATTGGTGTCGAAGGAACCACAAAGACGGACCAGGGTGGGATGCTCTTTGACACCCCTGGGAGGACGAAAATGAACAAGCCGGACGACAGCACCACGTGTTGGAGAAGAGATAGAGCTGCGCAATCTCCAGGGCATTGCTAGTCAGCTCTGCAACCACTAGAGAAAACAATCTGGCGTTATCTCATAAAGCGGAGGCCCAGCCTGTCTCCACACCCACACCCCCCAGGCGTAAAATCAAGAGGACCTTGGCAGGTGCTCTAAGACACCCGGGCAAGAACGTTTAAAGCTGCTCAGTTCTTAATAGCAGAAGTCTTGAAATAGCCCAAAAGTCCACCGACAAGAGAGTGGGGAAATAAATTACAGTGGATTCATCCACACAGCGGCACATGGTTCAGCAGCTAAGCAAGCAAATGAACCAATTTCACATAATAACATGAATGAATCTTAGTACCATACTGCTGAGTGAAAAAGCCAGTCCCAGAAAACAAATACTTGCCCTTCCTGTGAAGTTCAAAACCAAGCCAAAACATATCTCTACAAATAGCAATGTTGGTTCCTTCCTTTTAATACTTTTGTTATTAGGAGATGACAGAAGACTTAAGAGTAAGTCTGAGAAATTATGAGAACCTGTAAAAAAAATGTAGTTGATTTACCAGGTATCAAAGGAATACATAAAAATAATTTGCCTTCCTGTGGGTTATCAATAAATCATCCAGAATGTAATGGGAATTATCCTATTCAAAATAGCTGCAAAAATGTAAGATACTTTAAAGCAAACGTATTAACAATTATGCAGGTCCTATATGAAAACAATTGTAAAATTCACTGAATAATGTAAAAGAGAACCTTATAACAACTTTTATTCTCCTTAGTCTTAAAAAGAGACAAGCGGTGCCTGGGTGAGTGGAGCATGCGACTCGATCTTGGGGTTGTAATTTCAAACTCCACATTGGATGTAGAGATTACTTAAAAATAAAATCTTTAAAAATCAATCAATCAATAAGTCAAATCAAACAATATTGTCCAGGCATACAGGTATATGAGAAAACTCATTAAAAAAGAAAAAATTGATCATTGCAAAATTCAGGTTCCCCCAAGAAGGAGGCAGGGAGATGGAATGGGGAAGGGGTGACAAGGAAGAAAATACCTCAGTAAACACATACATTAAGTACAAGAGGGCCCTGCAAAGGCCCAGATGACCGTGCATAATACAGAAGTATCTGCATTTGCGCTCCTGAAGGGGAAAGAAAGACATTAAATTCATTTGGACAGATTTTTATTCAGGGTATAGGCAAAAGCTTGTCTTTCCTTCCAGAAGCCCACAAGGGCGGGGGGGGGGCAGGGATGCGTGTGCATGCAGGAGACGGGGCTAAGAACCCCAAAGGCACACAACACTGAGGGCCTTCAGCCTGGACAGATCCAGAAAGCTTCAGGAGGAAGGGGCAGCCTTGTAAACGTGCTGGATTTCAGTCAATAGATGGCAGAAGGGGAAGAACATGCCAGGCCTGCCAGGGGATGGGAAGGGGCTTATAAAGGCAGAGAGGTCAGGGGCGCCTGGGTGGCTCAGTTGGTTAAGCGACTGCCTTCAGCTCAGGTCATGATCCTGGAGTCCTGGGATCGAGCCCCACATCGAGTCCCACACCGGGCTGCCGGCTCAGCAGGGAGCCTGCTTCTCCCTCTGACCCTCTCCCTTCTCATGCTGTTTCTCACTCTCTCTCTCAAATAAATAAATAAAATCTTTAAAAAAAAAAAAAAGAAAGAAAAGTCAAGAAAATAAAAATAAAGGCAGAGAGGCCGGACAGAAAGTAATGAGGCTTGGTTGCCCATGGGCTGCCCAGGAAGGGTGGCTAGGGGAAAGGGGTGGTGCTGTGGAGTTGCTGGGGCATCATCTGGCCAGGGCTCAGGATCTGGGGGAGAAAACACTCCAGAAACTCACTAGGAAGCTGAGGCTACTCTAGGAAGAATGACTTGAGAGAGGGTTAAGGTCAGGGGTTCCGCAGGGGCAGGTTTGGTTGTGGAGAGGTGGAGCCCAAGTCCATTGTAATAACAGCCTCATTTCAGCTGTGACCTTGGACAAGGTGACTGTAGCCCTGAGCTTCAGATGCCTTTCTACAGAGGTTGCTGCCGGCCCATGGACCCCACGGAAAGCCCTGAGAAGGAGAAGTCCACATTCTGGAAGCAGAGAAACTGTGCATCAACCCCCAGCCTAGAGCATCCAGCACTGCACAGCCAGAGGAGGGCGAAGGTCATCTTAACACTGACAACTCCAGGCCATGGTGGTCTTGCAGCCACCACCTTGTCAGCAGGCCCGGGCCCAGGGGCAGTCCTACCTTCAGGAAATAGAGGGGTGAGACCTGGTTGCTGAAAAAGCCCCCACTAAAGATACCAGAGCCGGGAAGAATGTGTGAATGTGTGGCTCAGACTGAGCCACCCAGGCACCCCCTCCTTTTTTTTTAGAGGTGGGGGAGGGACAGAGGGAGAGGGAAAGAGAGCATCCTAAGCAGGCTCCACGCCCAGCACAGAGCCCCACGCAGGACTCGATCTCATGACCCTGAGATCATGACCTGAGCCGATATCAAGAGTCAGACGCTTAACCGACTGAGCCACCCAGGTGCCCCTGTAACATTTTCTTTATACCCATGTATTCACACATGTGATGATAATATCTAACCCTGAAGTAGAACTTCTCATATGCCAGGCATAGTTCTAAGTGCTCTGTGTATATTCATTCATTTACTCCTCACAACAATCTGATACCGTAGTCCATTTTACAGATGAGGAAACTGAGGCATAGAAAGTCAAGCATTTTGTTTAAACAATTTATTTATTTATTTATTTATTTGAGAGAGGGTTTGTGTGTACTCGTGTGTGCCCGTGAGCAGGGGGAGGAGCAGGGGGGAGGGAGAAGGAGGGAGAAAAAAATCTGAAGCTGACTCTTAGCTGAGCATGGAGCCCAATGTGGGGGCTCAGTCTCACAACTGTGAGATCATGACCTGAGCCGAAACCCAGTCAGACACTCAACCGACTGAGCCACCCAGGTGCCCCAGGAAGTCAAATAATTTGCTCCAGGAAGTCTGGTACAAGAATCTGACAGCCTTAGCAAAAAAGCTAGGAGGTCATAGTGTGCGTGCGTGCACACACACACGAGATTTTATACACACACAAATGCATATAAATTTACATAATTGCATAAATGTGATCATATACATGTTTTAATGTGTTTTAAATTTTTCCTTTAAAATTTTTTCCTCCCCAACCATGGAATCCATGTTATCACCCAATGTATGATTTTCTATATTTTTTACTTATTCACAATTATACATGGACTTATAGATACCTATAAACACGTGTACTTATACAGGGTTTCTTTTGTCATTTTTTTTAAGTAGGCTCTGCGCCCAGAGTGGAGCCCAACGCAGGGCTTGAACTCACGACCCTGAGATCAAGACCAGAGCTGATATCAAGAGTCCGATGCTCAACTGACTGAGCCACTCAGGCAGCCCCCTTTTGTCATTATTTTAAAATAGTAGATCGGGGCCCCTGGGTGGCTCAGTCGGTTGGGCATCTGCCTTTAGCTTGGGTCATGATCTCAGGGTCCTGAGATGGAGCCCTGCATCAGGCTCTCTGCTCTGCAGGGAGCCTGCTTCTCCCTCTCTCTGTCTGCCCCTCTGCCTACTTGTGCTCTCTCTGTCAAATAAATAAATAAAATCTTTTTAAAAAATAGTAGATCATCCCTGAAACAAACAATACCTTATATGTTAATAAAAAATAAAAATAGATCATATTAAATAAATCATTTCTGCATCTTTCTTTTCTCATTCATCTCTACCTGGAAGCCCCTGGCAGATCTAATTCACTGTTGTTAACAGCCACACATCAGGCCACCCACCATGTCTTTCCACCTGGTCCTCCCTGCTCGCGGTCCTCTTCTAGAGCCCCCCAACGTGCTTTGTTTCTTGACTCCATTAGGGAATCTGATGGTGGAAATTCCAGGCCAGATGAGAGGAAAGGACAGTGAGAAGGCAGCAAGTGACATTTCGGGCTGGGTCTTGCCTACCCTCTTGCAGGTGGCCCGCAGCCCTCGGCCCCCAGAGGCAGGAATGCTGACTGTGTTATTGTGAAATCATTTGTATATTGTGAAGTGCTTTGCATAGGATGGAGAGATTTGCATAAAGGGTTGGGGGGGTGGCATCTTTGAGATCCCAGAGCAGCATCCACGATTGTCTTCCTCCCTTTGCAAAGAAACCAACCCAGGGCTTCCACTTCAGAACTCAGAGACAGGCCCAGGAGAGCGTTCTGGCAGACCTATGGGCCAGAAAGACAAGAGGCTTTCGGAGGAAAGCTGATTCCATCTGGAAGGAGTTGGGGGGGGTCTAAGAAGAGCAGACATTGGAGTGTGAAGTGGAAACAGGGCACCAGGTGCAGTGTGTGAGAGCCCAGTGTGCCCTCAGAGTCCTCAGTAGGCAAGAGCCACACAGGACAGTTGAAGGGAGCTACCAAGGGAGACACAGGAGGGTCAGAGGCTTGGAGACCCCCATCCCGAGGCAATCTCTGCCCGAGCCCCCACATGCCCCATCCTGAATATTATACAGTCTTGCCTGATTCCCAGAAAGACTCCCACCCCCTAGAAGTGACAGGTGCTATCACATGCTCTGGGTTCGGGGACACCCAGATGCAAACCTGGCTCTGTCATCTGTGCCACTGTGTGGCCCTGGGCTAACAGTACACACCTCAATGGGATCAAAGGTCTCAGCGAGACAGTGCAAATGGAGTGAGGCACGTAGTAGTGTTCAGTAAATAATGCTATTGCTTGCTGCCCCAGGCTGGGGTCAGGCCTAGCTTCCTCCTGGTGAGGGAAGCACAAGCGACAGCTCCCCCAGGTCTGGGGTTCTGAGCAGCAGTATCAAGACACCATGCATTGGACCCCAAAGGGTTACAAGCCCTGGAGACAAAGGCCTGAGGTTCCCAGTGAAAAACCAAAGCATAAAAATAATTCGATGAGTAAGAATAAAATTCCCTCTTCTGAGGTTCCCGGGGCCAGGCCCCTCCCTGCGGCAGGCACTTCCCCTTTCCCTTGTTCATGGAGGAGCCAGGCCGCTTTGACTCAGAGCTGGAGCACCCGAGCCAGGAACCCACCCGACCCCGGCCGGGCTCCCGGCGGCACCTGCTAGCAACCGAGCGCGCCCCCGTGCGGCCGCGGGCGGGACTGCGGCCCGAGAGAGGAAGCGGCGGCCAGACCCGCAAGCCCAGCCACCCAGCCGCTCGCGGTCCCTGCGGGGCCGCCGCCCCCGCCCTCCCCAGCGGGGCTGAGCGCCTTGCCCCTGGGGCTTCCACTTCCGCCCGGCCCTCCCCGCCGTCTCCCTCCCGCGTCCGCCCGGGCGGAAGTGCGCCGGCCTCCCGGGTCCCCCACGGCCGCGAGGCGGAAGCGCGCCGCGACCGCCGCTCCCCCCCCGGCCCCGCGGCGCACTGCGCGTCGGGTTCCGGACGGGTCCCGTGTGACGTGGCCGCGCGCCGGGGGCGGCTCTGGGCTGGGGGGCCGGGAGGCCGAGCCGGGCGGGGCAGACCCGGGGCGGGGCGCGGCGCCGCTGCTGGATGGCCGGGGCCGCCCGGAGCGCCGCCGCCGCCGCCGCTGCACGGTGAGTGACCGCCCGACCCTCGGGGGCCCGCGCCCCGGGCGGGACGCCCCGGCCGCTCCCCCACGCCCCCCGACCCCCGGCCCTGCCGGCCCCGGGCTAGACTCGGGCTTCTGGCCCCCCTTCTGGCCCAGAGCCGGGCAGTTCGACTTCCTTGGGCTCCTCTTCTCCCCTGTCGCCCCGCACGTCGCTGCCCATCGCTCCCTCGCTTTCCTCCTCCGCGTCCGTCTCCCACTCTGGCTCTCTCACTCCTGACTTTGTCTTGTCTTCTCCCTTCCCTCTCCTCTCTCACTCTCCCTACCCCGTTCCCCGCTCCCCAGACTGCGGTCCCCGCACCTCTGCGTGTCCCGCCTTGGCCTCCAAGTCTGGCTTGGCCCAGTCCTGCCTTTGGCCCCCAGGGAGCCCCGGCGGGGTTCGTCAGGGTCCCCCGTAAAGGCCCGGAGCTCCTGGACGCGGGCATCTTTTCCACCCTCCCACCTCCATCAGGGGATGAGGAAACTGAGGCAGGGACATCGCTGGCTCAAGGTCACGGCCAGATGAGGCAGGGCAGACCACATTTAACCCTCACCCCCGAGTTTCCAGATTGAACTTCTCTGTTGGCTGACTCACATCCAGGTCCTGTGATCCAGCGTCTGGGAACCTTCCTTCCGGGGGTGTCCCAGGCCGCCTGCAGTATGAGGAGGGCTTTCCCGGGCCTCCTCCATTGCCAGGCACGGTCACTGGCCTTAGCAAGCTTCTCTCATCTTCACAGCCTGTGAGGGAGGCAGTTCTCCTCTCGTCCCACAGACAAGGAAACTGAGGCCCGGGGAGGGGCTTCGGGGACTTGCCCGCACTCAAAACGCTGTAGGTGCAGAGCACAGAGTTCCGGGCTGGTCTCCAAAGCCTGTGCTCTGCACATCCTTGACGCAGCTCCCGCCTGAAGGATCCTTCTCTTCGGTTCCACCTCCTGTCTGTCTCTGCACCCTGGGGACAGGGGGCTCACTGCCGAGGAGGAAGCTCTGATGGTTCTGCCCTAGCTCCGCTGCTTGCTTTCCACACCTGCACCATCCAGTGTTGCCCATCAGGCCAGACAGTGGCAGCCTCAGTCCCCGGGGTGTCCTCGCTGGAGCACATCCCGGCCGCAGAGCCTCTCCTGGCAGCTGGAGACACCCGACTGGGCTGGGCCTGCCGGTGGCTGAAGGGAACCCAGCCAGCGCCTCACCCCGTCATTAGGGAAAGTTTAGCCCCAGGCAGATACGCTGACACACAGTCTGGAGTAGGCTCGGGAGGAAAAACTGTGTGGTCCTCGGGAGTGGGGTGTGGAAGAGTAGAGCCCCTTTGCTCTGTGCACCCGTCATTGGGGTCCTCAGAGGCCCTGGGCAAGGCCGGTGGGAGAGTGGATGCCATGGCCGCTTGTCTGGGGGGAGGGTTAGGAGGCCACGTTTGCTAAGCAGGTGTGCGGCCAAGGGTGGCAGCTCACGTAAGAGCCTTTGTGTTTTTCAGCACGTGGCATGCCTGCATGTCCCTGTCCTGGCTGTGGCATGGCGGGCCGAAGGCTCCTCTTCTTCACTGCGCTTGTCCTAGAGCTCCTGGGAGGGGCTGGGGGTTCCCAGCCGGCCCCCCGGAGCCGGGGGCCTGCAGCTGCCTGTCGCCTGGACAACAAGGAAAGCGAATCCTGGGGGGCCCTGCTGAGCGGAGAGAGGCTGGACACCTGGATCTGCTCCCTCCTGGGCTCACTCATGGTGGGGCTCAGCGGAGTCTTCCCACTGCTCGTGATCCCCCTGGAGATGGGGACCATGCTGCGCTCAGAAGGTAGGTGGCTGTCCTCTGGCGCCCAGGGCCCCAGGAGAGTGGGGTCTCACGTCTGTCTGGGGTGGAGGGCAGGGATAGAACACGTAACTTCTCACCTTGTGAGACCAGGGTGCGCCACGCTCATTTGTTCGTTCACGTGTGCATTTGTTTATTCTGAAAGAATAAAAGCCACCAGACATTCACCAAGAAACAATATAGATTGTGGTTGGAAACATGGGTGCCAGGCCGCTTGGGTTCCACGCCTGGCTCTGCCACTCACCAGCTGGTAGCGTGGGGCAAGTTACTTAACTTTAGGCTCCCATCCTTAAAAATGGGGATAAATACTAGTATCTGCCTCATAGGTGCTACTGTGAAGAGGAGAGGAGCTCATACGGACGGAGCACTCAGAAGGGGGCCTGGTGCTGGGGCGGGGGGCGGCGCACCGCTATGTGCTGGTGAGCCATGTGCTGCCCCACCCTTAGTGCAGAAAAGCCCCCCCACCCAGGGCCCCTGGGTCGGCCTTACCCAGGAATACACGAGAGGCTGGTGGCGGGCCGCCTCTGGGGAGGGGACCTGGGGGACGGGGCACAGGCCCGGGGCAGAGGCTCCCCTTTGGCACCTCACACGCGGCTGTGCACTGTCGATGCACAGATGACACGTCGTAACTCGTAATGAAAACTACAGAAGACTAGATGGGTAGCTGCTGAAAGTGCAGGCGCCTGCTGCCCGTCCCAGGAGTGCGCCGTAGCAGGCCTGGCCCCGGGGCTCCAGCAGTCTGTTCGGAATGCGTGCTCCAGAGGTTTCTGCCGCCTGCCTGGCCCGGGAACTGTGCACAGATGGTTATGAGCACATCTGTGGTGCACGCGGGCTGAGGGCTGGCGCCACAGCTGTGAAGAGAGCCCTCGTGGGGCCCTGCTGCCATGGCCTGTGCAGCATCTCACCCCTCTTAGAGTGCCCCTGCAAGGTCAGCCTCCGGGGGACTGGGATTTTTAGCTCCATTTCACAAATGGGGAAACAAAGGCACAGAGGAATTCTTTGACCAGGCTGAGGTCACAGAGCCTGGAAGCGGCAGCTTCCCCTGGGATCCCACCTGACCCCCCAAGCGGCCTCTGCCCTCTGGGCCTGTTTCTCTGTCAAGCCAAGCGTTTGGAGACAGCCTTCCGGCACTTCCAACTCTTGATGCTGCAAGTCTACAAAAGTCCTTGAATCTCTGCCACTTTTCTGAGAGTAACAGTGACTGAGAAGAGAGAAATTCCCACTTAAAGAGCGCTTGCTATGTGTATTGTCATTTAATTCCCACAAGGTCCCTATCAGATAACAATCAGCCCCGGTTTACAGATGGGGAAACTGAGTCCCAGAAGTAACCTGCCCAGGGTCACCAGCTGTTGGGTTGGGGAGCTGGGACCCATCGGGCTCCCACACCCTGTCTCTTAACCATGAAGCCATAGTGGTTCCACAGTCGTCCAGTGGGTCGTGATGTATTTCCTGCTGAGCACCCAGGCAGGGCTTGGCCTGGGGGTGGGGGTGGGGGTTGGGGGGGAGCGATCCAGGAAGGGCAGCAGGCCAAGTCCAGCCTTCTGGAAGCTTGCAGTCTGGTTGGAAATACGCAGCGCCCAGCAAGCTGGGTGGGGCAGAGGTCTGGCCGGGGGCTCTGATAGGCCAGCCCCCGAGCCCCGCATCTCCGCATCTCTGTTCTGTAGCTGGGGCCCGCCGCCTGAAGCAGCTGCTCAGCTTTGCCTTGGGGGGACTTTTGGGCAATGTGTTTCTCCACCTGCTGCCCGAGGCATGGGCCTACACATGCAGTGCCAGCCCTGGTGAGTGAGGCCACAGTCGGGGGGCTGGAGGGCAGAGGGAGCTGGTGCCCACGCCCAAGGTTGGCCTAGGCCCTGCCCGCTCTGCCAGAATGACTGGGAGAGGGGATCTGGGCATCTGGCAGGGAACTCGTCCTGCTCCAGCACCCTGGCCCCTGGGGGAGTCCCTGGGGCCCAGCTTCCCCACCAGCTAGTCCTGTCCCGCTTCCCCTGTCACTGCCCCTGACGACGTCCCATTCCAAATGGCCCCCGCTTCTGTGGCCCTGGCTTGGCCTGGCCTGTCAGTGCTGCCCCCTGCAGGTGGTGAGGGGCAGAGCCTGCAGCAGCAACAGCAGCTGGGACTGTGGGTCATTGCTGGCTTCCTCACCTTTCTGGCGTTGGAGAAGATGTTGCCGGACAGCAAGGAGAAGGAGGGGACCAGCCAGGTGAGCCCCAAGCCCCGGGGCCTGGACAGGTCAGCCTCTGTGATGTGGTGCCAGGGCCTGGAGGCGCAGGTCCTGAGTTGAGCCCTGAAAAGAGGGTCTCTTGGCCGTTCCCTCTGGGCTCTGGGAGGCTGGGCCAACTGGGAAGATCCGGGGAGTGACGACGTGGGCCCCTGCTGTGGCTTGTTCTCTTAGACTGGGAGTGACAGCGGCGTGGAAGGTGGTCAGTGGAGCCTGGGGGCACACAGCTGACTGAGCAACAGAGAAGTCTAGCTAGACCAAAGGGCTCTTTCCTGCCTCTGTGTCTCCATCTCCACTCCCCTCCTGTGTCTACCCCGGCCAAGTGGGGGAACATCTAATGTCCCCTCTCCCTCCTTCTCCTGGCCCTAGGCCCCCAGTAAAGACCCCGCTGCTGCTGCCGCGCTCAGTGGAGGCCACTGTCTGGCCCAGCCGGCTGCAGAGCCCGGCGTGAGTGCTGTGGTCCGGACCATCAAAGTGAGTGGCCCACTCAGGGCCCCCTCCTCCTGCAGCTGTCCCCCACCCCCCAACTGGCAGGCCCAGCTGAACCCTGCCCGCCTGGCTCAGCCTGGCTTCCTCTCCCCTCACGCAGGTCAGTGGCTATCTCAACCTGCTGGCCAACACCATAGACAACTTCACTCACGGGCTGGCTGTAGCTGCCAGCTTCCTTGTGAGCAAGAAGGTGAGTGGGGGGGTTGGGCCAGGTGGGCCCCAGGCCTTTCTGGTGGGAATGATGGTGCCTGTGTTGACCAGTTGGCTCTGCCTCCAAAATAGGTCTCCAGTCTGTGCACTTCCCACTCTCTCCATCACCAACACCCTCATCCAAGCCCTGAGGGCCCCTGCACGTGGCCGCCTTTTGTCTGAGCCAGTGGTCTGTTCTTACTGTGAACACTCCTTGTTGGGATTGCATACCTCTGCCAGGCTGCTAGGCTTGGGCCCTGCCCGCTTCTAGATGCTTCTCACCCACTTCTTCCCTCGGCCCTCTCTGACATCAGTGGTCTGCCTACTCTTGAGCTGGCCTAGCTCTTTTCCCTCTCCTGGCCTCCACCGCATGCTATTCTATCTGCCTGGAATGTTCTTCCTCCCACTCTTTGAAATCCTGGCTCCTTAATCCTTCAGGCCTCGGCTGACATGCACTTCCTCAAAGAGGCCTCTGCTGGCCCCTCATCTAAATGAGGCTCCTGTCACTCATGCCCATGCCACCCGGTCCATCTCCTCCCCCACAGCACCTGTCACTGTGTAATCTGGTGGTTCTTTGTGTGTTCATTCAGTCCTCGCCTCCCCCTCCAGACTGTTAGCTCTGTGAAGACAGGTTCCTTGTCTGCTGTATTTCTAGTAGCCACATGGTGTCCAGCCAGAGCACCCCGCAGAGTAAATATTTGTAAACTGAATGGACAAGTGGGTGCCTGGCCCTCGGCCCAGAACCCCACAGACTCCCTTCCCTGCAGATTGGGCTCCTGACCACCATGGCCATCCTTTTGCACGAGATCCCCCACGAGGTGTGTGCCAGAGGGTTTCTATGGCAGCAGTGTGGGCGTGGGACTTGGGAGAGGGATTTGGGGTGGGAAGCCCAGAAGCAGCAGGCTTGGGGACGAGGCTTTGGAGGCCTGGAGCTGCTCAGCCCACCAGGTTGCGGCCACCATCTCAGCTGTGTTCCAGCCTCCGGGTGGGGGTGGGGGGTGGTGGTGAATGGGGTCCCAGCCTCGGCGATGCGGCCTGGGGGGCCCAGCAGCAGGGCCAGTGCAGGGGGCTCGGTGTGCAGGTCCGTACCCGACCCCCTGGGGCCCAGAGTGATCATCTGGACCTCCCCTCAGGTGGGCGACTTTGCCATCCTGCTCCGGGCCGGCTTTGACCGATGGAGCGCAGCCAAGCTGCAGCTCTCGACGGCGCTGGGGGGCCTGCTGGGCGCCTGCTTTGCCATCTGTACGCAGTCCCCCAAGGGAGTAGGTACGGGCATGGTGGGTGGTGGCGGCAGGTGGTGGTCAGCGGAGGGGCCCCAGCCAGAGGGCACAGCTGCACTGGCCCGGTGTCCAGGCCAGGATCTGCCCCAAGTGTCCCCCGTGGGAGCGGGTGCTGCACACGGCTTGCCTGGGCCCCCAGCCGGTCGGGACTTCTGCTCCCACTGCAGAGGAGACCGTGGCCTGGATCCTGCCCTTCACCTCTGGCGGCTTTCTCTACATCGCCCTGGTGAACGTGCTGCCCGACCTCCTGGAGGAAGATGACCCGTGGTAAGCGCCCGTCACCATCGCCCCCCGGGGGTGGGGGAGGGGGGGCTTCTGGGCTCTGGCCTGTCCTCAGCGCCTCCCTGAGCCCGGCCCCTCTCCCCACAGGCGCTCCCTGCAGCAAGTCCTGCTGCTCTGCACAGGCATCGTGGTGATGGTGCTCTTCTCGCTCTTCACGGGGTGACTGCCCCTGACAGCCCCCCCCCACCCCCAGCAATAAGAGACTCGGATTCAGTCTGTGACCGTGTGTGAGGCACGGGGCGAGTGCCTGAGAGCGCCCCTGACCAGATTAGAGGACGGGGTGTGCGCACGCGCGCATGCGTGTGTGTGTGTGTGTGTGTGTGTGTGTGTGAGTGACCAGAGGTACGCGTGAGACCGACACTGTGATCGTGCGCTGGGCCCAGGGCCCGATGCCCGCGCCCAGCCGCGCTGTGGTCTTGTCTCCTTAGCCCCGTCATCCGGCACTTCCCGCGGCGAGCACTGAGCAATAGCAGCCCTGCTCCCAAGCGGAGGCCTCTCCCCACCAAGACCACAGAGGGAGTGAGAAGAGCCCCAGGAGCCCAGGGCTTCAAGGAGCCCAAAGCTGTCTCCCTCTGGGGCCTTGGGGTTCCCGGCCTTCTGCTCGGGCACCAAGCCCTGGGCAGCCTGAGGGCTGAGGCTGGGGAGCCTTCTCTGCTGTGTCTGTTGTCCTGGCCCTTCCTTTGTCAGTTCTAAGGCCAAAGAAAGGAGAGGCAGGTGCTCGTGTAGCCCCTCACCCCTCGCCGCACTCAGCACTGACAGTCCCACCCAGCCCAGATGGAGCTGGGGGTGCTTCCCAAGACCTTCTCCTCGTGGCTGCCGGCCCTGGGCCAGCTCCTGTGCCCCCAGGAAATGCTCCCTGGCAGCGCCTGCAGCTTTTGCCACCTCCCGCTGCCAAGCAGCAGCCTGCAGGGCAGTGAGCAGCCCTGGGCCAGAGAGGCCTGCTGGTCCAGCTCAGGGGCGCTCGCGCTGGTCCAGGCGGAGATACCCTGGAGGCAGGAAGAGTGGGCTGTGGCCGCCCCTCCCTGCCCAGGCCCTTTTTCCTGTCCCACCACAGCTGAGGGTAGGTTGGGGGGTGGTGAGGGCCCCGCCTTGCCAGCACGCAGGAATGTGCTCTGGGAGAGCGCTGAAGCCCTAATCCCCAGCTATTTCCCTTGGCTGACACCCAGGTACTCAGCCAGCCCGCTCCACAGCCAGGCTCAGCCCTGCTGCTCAACCGTGGGCGTTCTGAGAAGCAGCCATCAAGAGGGTCTGAATGGGTTTACAGCAGTCGTGCTGTGGTTCCGTTTTTTTGTAAATAACTATAGATGATACAAATAAATATTATATACAAACTGGCTGCCTCTTTTCTGCACACCACAGTCCGTGGTCTGAGCAGGGCTTTCCTGGATGCCCTTGCTCCAGCCAGGCTGGTGGCTTTGTGTCGTCCCCCCCCCCAGCTCAGCGGGCCACCCTGCCCACCTTGGCATCCCCTGCCCCACTCCATCTCTTCTGCTTCATGCCCCTTTCTGAACAGTTACCCTTGCAGTGTTTCTCAGAACAGGGCGTAGCCGTTCATGCTCTACCTGGCCTGTCAGCTCTGGAGCCCAAAGCCACAAGCCTGGCACCACGCCACTGTAGCCAACAGCACCCCGAGGGTGACTGTCCTCGTTTTATGGACCTAAGAGCCAGGGGCTTCTCCCCAGCCTGTCCCCTGAATAAACGGAGAAAGGGAGGTCCATCCACAAAGTCATCTCCAGTTTTGCTTCAGTGAAATTAAAAAGAAAGATCATGAGGTCCTTACTCCACAGATTCTCACTTCCTCTGAGTTGTAAAGGCGGCCCCGGGCACCGGGGGGTGCTGCTTCCCCACAGCACTAGCCAGAGAAGGCAGGAAGGGGAGAGCAGAGTCCCACTGTGCTCTCAGCCATCCAGGTCGGCCTTCAGGAGCCCCTGGCTGAGCACTGCCCTGTCTGTCCGTCCTGGAGGCCGCTCCAGGCTGAAGCCCCAGGCAGCAGCATCCTCAGCAGGGAGTGGCTGGCTCTGACCCAGCGGCTTGTCAGCAGAAAGGGAGCCACCCCACCTGGCTGTGACAGTCCAGGGCCCCAGGAAGGAAAGAATCCGGGGTGTCCCGCCCCCACCCTCCCCTTGGTGGCACTGGGACTTCCACCCGTGTTGAGCCCTTCCAGGTGACAGGTACACATGCAATCACAGGACTCAGCCTGCCCGGGGGGGAGGCAGTGAGGCCCCCGTTTATGAGTGAGGAAGCTGGTGGGGTGTGGGGGGGTGGGGGACTGTGGGTTCACTGCAGTGCCACGGTCAGGAGGTGAATGCCCTAACTGGTCAGGAGAGGGACCAGAGAATGCAGAAGTAATGGCGGCCAGAGTCTGTCCCTGGCCAAGTCTGTCCCCGAATAGGGGGACAGTAACCAGAAGCCCTCGGAGGCTGTACTGGGAGCGCCTTGGGCAAGGAGTGGAAGTCAATGGGACTGCCAAGGGGTTCACCCCTGCGAGCACTGGCACACTCTGGAAGGTGGCCTGGAGGCGACGGGACTCCAGGGCTGGAAAGCTAGCCAGGAGCCGAGCCCTCCAGGTAAGCGGGCTCTGTCAGTAGCTCACTGTGGGCATGTCCATTCAGGGAGAGGGCAGGGAAAAGGAGTGTGGAGGGGCTTTTGCTAGGGGGCAAGTAAGAGCTGACAGGAGTCCTGAGCAGCTCTTACTCTGGAAGGCATTCTGGGGTCCCTGAAAGCAGACGTGCTTTACTGTCCTGGGTTTTTAAATCCCAGCTATGCCGCCTGAGAGCAATCCTGGCCCAGCTGCCCACACACATCTAGGAAGTGGGACTACCCCACTGGGGGCTGCTGGAATAACTAGATCCAGTTATGCACAAGATCCACTGGGCATGGGGCCCAGAACAGGCCCTCAGTGAACCACACGAGGCCAGCTACAGGGGAGCTGGAAGGTTGAATGGAGAGGAACAACGAGATACTCGAGGAAACAGACAGGACATAGGACCTGACGGGGAGCGGGGCTGATGGCGGAACTGGGCGGTGGGGGAGAACACACTGTGACCAAAGGTAGGCCCAGAAGGGCTCTCAGTGCTCTTGCTCAAGGTTCGTTTCTCAGCAGGAGGGAATGAGCCAAGAGAGCTAATGGGGACGTGGAGAAACAGGAGGCTCAGGGGCCAGGAAACAGGAAGAATTTCAAGGAGCAAAGACGCAGAGCCTGGCTTTACAGGGAAGCAATGATGAGGGACCAAAATGCCAAAGGAGAAAGGCGGGCTTCTTTCAGGGCCTCGGTTCTGGAGCTGCAGGGCCCTGACTCTAAAGTGGAGGGGTGGGGCAGGGAGCGGGAAAGGGGGTGGGGAGGGGCACAGTGGGGGGTGGGGGGTGGGGGGTGGAAGACCCCAGGCAGCAGCTGTAGCAGGCACCCATCCTTCCCAGAGGGCCTCGCCTAATGACTGCTTTGAGGCCCACAGTGGTTTCAGAGGTTCCAGGGAGCAGCACGTGGGGTGGGAGCCCCCTGCACAGGCCCCACTCCTCCTTCCAGCCAGGCCCCGGGAAAGGTGCAACAGACAGGTGGCAGGGACCTGCAACCATCTTTTATTATGGATTTTAACCAGCACCAGACCAGGGAGCAGGTGTGGTAGGCAACCTCCTAGGCGTAGTACTGCAGGTTGGCTTTCTTCTTGGCCTGCACCTCCAGGATGCCCTCCATGTAGTCCTCGTGCGTGAGTTCCGTGGCACCCCTGCGCAGCGCGATCATGCCCTGCACCCAGGACAGACAGGCTCTAGGGTGCCTTCCCGCACCCCTGGCCCGGCTCCTAGAGGCCTCGGCCTTCTGAGCCTCTCCCCCGCCCAGCAGTCTCCACCAAACACCCCATCCTGTTCAGGGAAGGGGGGCAAGAAGGCATGAAGTAACCCACTCCCCCTGCCACCACTCACCGCCTCCACACACACGGCCTTGCACTGAGCCCCATTGAAGTCATCCGTACAGCGGGCCAGCTCCTCGTAGTTCACATCGGGACTGGGGGGCCGGGGCGGGGGGGACAAACACCACAGGACTCAGTTACTTCCGGTTATGGGGAGGGGCAGGAGAGGATATCCTCCCATACTCCCCCTCGGGCAGTGAGGTCCACTCGGCCCGTGACATCGGCAAATCCCTCCCTCCCCCCCCGTGCCTGCCCTCTTCTCAGTACGAGATACAGAATGGAGGGCAGGTAGGTCAAAGCAGAGAACAGATTATTTCTGTCTTCTGAGCTCTAGCCTTCTAGAAACCTGCACCTGAGATTCCAGGGGCTGAGCAAGCCTGGGGCGGGGGAGCACAAGGATGGCTGTCCCCCGCTTTCGTCGTGCCGGCCCTGCATCAGCACAGCGCTTCCTTGGTCTCTCTTGTGCCGAGCACTTCCCTGGACGCGCCACAACCCCGTGAGGTCAGTGCCATTACCCCCAAGCACCCGACAAGGAAACTCAGGCTTCGACGGGTAATACCACCTACTGGAGGTCACACAGATCTGAGTCTAAGTCCACCCGGCCCCTGGCTGAACTTCCCAGATCCATGCTGGGCTGTGCTCATCCGCTGGGCTGGGGGAGTCAAGGAACTGAGGGCCCCCATCCTGTGCACCTTCAGACCACGGGGGAAGAAGAGGCAGGGTGACTCTAAGGAGCAGAGCACCCAGAATCAGGGCCTGGAGCCGAGCAAGATTCTATCTCAGGCTTGTGGGGAGAAACGGAGGCTGGCATGTGGAATAGCTGTGTGTGAACAGAGAGGAGAGAAGGAGTGGGCAGAGATCTGGGGACACTCAGTACAAGAAAAACAACAGAGACGGCTCTGCTGCTGCCCCTTCAGGTCTCAGTGCCTTGCTCATGTCCTTGCTCACCTGACGTTCATCTTGCGGGAGTGGATCTGCATGATTCTGGCCCGGGCCTCCTCGTTGGGCATGGGGAATTCAATCTTCCGGTCCAGACGGCCTGAGCGGAGCAGTGCTGGGTCCAGGATATCCACCCTGTTGGTGGCTGCAATCACCTGAGCAAGGGGAGAAGCAGCAACGTGAACTGAGGAAGATGGGGCTCCCAGACAGACAACAGTCAAGGCCATGACAAGCAGAGAGGCAGCCCAGGGTCCAGATCAAACAGGGTGTTAAAGACAATCTCATTTCTAATTCTAGCTGCACTAGCTGGGTGACCGAGAAGGTGCCCTGCCCTCTAAGCTCCATTTTCTTCATCTGTGATGACAATACTCACCTTTACTTGGGTGTTGGGCTGGAACCCATCCAGTTGGTTCAGAAGCTCCAACATTGTCCTCTGCACCTCCCGGTCCCCAGCCTTCTCACTGTCAAAGCTGGGGCACACAAGAGGCCCAACACACTGATGAGGCCACAACTCGGGCAGAGCCTTCCCCTCCTCCAGCCACCAGAAGTCTAACCCAACTATCCGGGGCAGGGAAAGGTCATGCTCAACTTGGGGCCCCCAGCCCAGGACTGACACAGAACAGGTGTCAGAGACTGGAGAGGCTCCTGGTATCAGCCAGGCTGAGGATAAAACAGTGAGCAAAACCAATCACTGTCTGGGCTATCCCCCAATGAATGTGCCACTGCAAACTGAGCTAAAGCTTAGAAATATGGGATCCAGACTTGGAGTGTAAAGGGGAGCCCAAGCAGGCATCCCTGAGGAAGTATCTCTCAGGCTGAGAACACACAGGCTAGGCAACCAACCACTAAGAAACAGGAAAAGTACATTCTAGAAAAGGAACAGGTGCAAACTCTCTCCCACCAGGGCCAGATGGACTTGGATTATAGAGCGGACCTATTACCCAAAGGGATGTTGGGGCATCTGGCTGGCACAGTCGGTTAAGTGTTCTACTCTTGGTTTCAGCTCAGGTCATAATCTCAAGGTCATGAGGTCAAGTCCCGCCTCCTGCTCTGCACTCCGGGGTGGAGTCTGCTTGGGATTCTTTCCCTCTTCCTCTCCTTTCTCCTCTGCCCCGCCCCCCCCACCTCAAGTGCATGTGCTCAATTGCTCTCTCAAATAAATGGCCTTAATAAATAAAAATCTTTAAAAAAATAAATGGATGCTGGGAAGAGGTGGGGGCAGGGACAGGTCCAGGATGAAGTGGAGGGGAACAGGGACAGCCACAGAGCGGACCAGGCAGGCCATGGTAAGTCCAGCATTTATCCCAAGGAGCAATGGGGGCCCACAAAGGGTTTCAAGTAGGATGTCTGTGTGAGGGAGTGTGGGTGCATGTGAGGGAAGCAAGCAGGTATGAAAGGAACATATGGCTGGCAGCCGTGAGAATGGACGGTCAGGGGAAAAAAGCAGCAAGGAAGCTAGTTAGAACAGATTTCA